ACACGTAATCAGCTGGATTTTTCTTTGTACTAACGTGCTTCCATTGCTTGGGTTCAGACAACTCTCTGATGGTAGCAACTCTATTAGCTACAAAATGTATGGAAGCGCCTGTCCTCATTATTAATGTACTTCAAAACAGATGTGCTATCAGTCCAAAACACAGAACTTTCCAAATGGATATTCAGCTCTGCCTTGACCATCGCATCGATTTTTTTACGGCCAGAACGGCTGCAGACAGCTCAAGCCGAGGAATGGTTATGGTCTTCAATGGTGTTACTCTGGCCTTGCCAAGGAGAAAGGCAACATGAATGATGTTTTCCTGATTTGTCATACGAATGTACGTAACGGTACCATAGCCTGCTTCACTGGCATCTGAAAAATTTGTAGTTGTACATGCTTTATGGTTCCAAATCCGACAGGTTTTATGCATCGGTCCACACTAAATGCATCCAGCAGGGTCAGCCCCTTCAGCCATCCTTTCCATTGATGTAAAACATCCTGAGGCAACGCATCATCCAGCTGCAGCCTCTTTTACACAATTCTTGCTGCATCATTTTTGCCTGCAATGTCACTGGCGACAGAAACCCAAAGGAATCAAAAACAGAACTGTTGACAGACAGCATTCCACGCCTGGTCAGGGCCTGATGTTTCAGTTCCATCTTAAACCTGAAGGCATCACTTTCCACACACACTGGAGACCCAAAGCTCTTTCCGTTGGAAGTTTATCAATATCCAGATCCAACATCTTTAAATCCTTAGCTCTTTGTTCCTCTGAAACGGCTTGCAGAACAACACGACTGTTGCTTACCCATTTTTCAAATGTGAAGCCTCCCTTTTCACACAGCGCCACAAGATCATTTATCATCTTGATTGCTTCCTTGTCGGTGGCTAAACTCTTTAGGCAATCGTCAACGTAAAAGTTATGTCTAACAGTTTCTGAGACCCTCTGCTGGAAATTCGTCCTGATTGTCTTTTAGCAGTTCTTTTTAAGGCATATGCCGCACAGCTCGGAGATGAAACTGCTCCGAACAAGTGCACCATCATCCTGTAAGGCACTGGATCTTGTGTAGTGTCTCCTTCTGGCCACCAGAGAAAGCGGAGGAAATCTCTTTCATCTTCAGGCACACACACCTGATGGAACATGGCTCTAATGTCCCCATGATGGCTATGGGTTCCTGTCTGAACCTCATAAGGACGCCCAGAAGTGTACTTGTGAGATTGGGCCCTGATAATACTCACTATTCAGAGACACTCCCTTGAATGTTGCAGCACAATCAAACACCACCCGTAGTGCTCCCTTTCTAGGTGATGGACTCCGTGGTGAGGGATATACCAAACTCTTCTATTGTTACCACGTAATAGGTGTTCAGGTACACGCTCAGCGTATCTGCATGAAATGATGTTGTTCATGTACTCTATATACTCCTGGTGAAAGTGCTGGTTGAATTAAATCGCTTTCTAAGGCCTTGCATTCTCTGTTTGGCCACAACAAGATTATTTGGTAGACCGACATCCATCCTTTTGAAAGGTAGATTCAGACAGTACTTCCCTTCCTGCATTACTGCAGATGTGTCCATAATGCTGAGAAACCTTAGATCTTCTCTGGACATTTCCTGTTTGTTAATTGGATTATCACAGAAGTCCTGGTTATAATGATTCTTGAGCAGTTCCTCAGCTTGATCACTGATATTCTATTCACTGTTACCGATGAACCTTCTTGATCATCATTGCCAGCTAATTGACCATTAACTACCCAGCCGAGGACAGTTTCTGACAGCATATGGGCCATTTCCTTGGCTGTTGATGACTTCCCAAGGTTCCAGTAACTTGGGGGCATTAACGCCAATCAACAGGTCAATTTCAGACTGAATGGATGGCACATAAACCTCTGTCAAATATGTCCACCTTTTTAAGTCTTCAGATGTTATCATGTCATCCCTAGTGACAGGCATTTGTTTCTGTGTGATGACTTCTGGCAGCGGATAGAATGTGTTACTATCTAGCCCAGCCACCTCAAGATTAAACAGTGAAAATGCTGGACTTGTTTTAGACTGACCCATTGTTCTAAGCAGGACCTGTGTTCGCTTTCCAGTGAGGTTCAGTTTGTGCATCAGCCGTTCAGAACAAAATGTACCGGTGCTGCCTGGATCCAAGAACGCATATGTTTGAACGGTACACTGACCTTTCACTGCTTTAATTTTTACGGGGAGCACTGACAGCATACCACGATCCTTTCCGGCCCTGTATGGCCACATATTGTGGGTGACACTGGCAGGGGTTCCGGTGTTTCGGCTCCATGCTCTGCTCCGTGCTCAGAGAAGGGCGTTTGTCGTTTTACGTGCAACACTGTTGGATGGAGTTTATTGCAAATTTCACATGTTAAACGTTCCACACAAATTCCTACTGATGTGGCCCCGTTGCAGACAGCCAAAACACACTCCTCTCCTCTTTAACAGAAACATTTTATCTTTGTGCAGTTTTTTTTCAAATTCTTTTGCAATCCTCTAATGGGTGAACTTGTGAACAACAAACACAAGGCTCACCTTCATTTCCTTCTATTGCAGCACAAGTCTGTTTAGATTCTTCAGGAGCACTCACAGATGTTACAGTGCTGGCCACAACGTTTCTTTTAATCTTGGCACTCTGCTGTGGCCTTTGCTGATGCTGGCTAAGCAATGTTGTACTTAAACTATAATCTTGCAAGTCACCGAAAAACGGGTCTAATAAGATCTTGACATGACGCTCAAGAAATGCAACCATATCACTGAATCCAGCCCTGTATCCAGTTGTCTCCATAATATCATGGGCCCTACCTCTCCAGTTCTCTCGTAATTTATATGGAAGTTTTGCGAGGATTGCTCTCATATTCCCAGGCATGTTGAGCTCTTGCACATATTCCAACTCATTCATCACATTACAACAGCCACGTAGAAATAGAGAATAACTCTGCAGTGCCCTTGTGTCCTCGTTCTTATCGTTGGCCAAGAAAGAGCCTTGCTAATATAAGCAGTTGCAGCTTTGTATGGATTTCCAAAATGCTCCTGCAACAACGTTTTTGCAACTGTATAACCATGATCCGGGTCCATATGTTGGCAACTGCGCACCAGCTCCCGAGGTTGGCCTCTAGTAAACTGTTCCAGGTAGTATAAACTGTCCGCTTGAGTTGCTTTCATTTCCACTCCTTGTTCAAATGCCTTAATAAAGGCTCTGTATTGCAGAGGGTCGCCATCAAACACAGGAATGTCACGTGATGGTAAAGTCATTGACTGCTGCTGCTTTACCAAAGTTGCTGTGATTTCAGTTTGTCGATTCATGATGGTAAGGAATTCTCCAGGTAACTGTAAAGTGGTTGATGGAGTTATATTATCATTGCATGGATAACGCTCCCTTTGCAGTTTGGTTCCACTGGGTTTACGTTGTTCCACCACAAGAGGGGCTGTTGTCACAATTTCCTTTGGTCTAACGTAGACAGGTTTGGTTCCCCTTAATGCCACCCTTGGTTCCTTCTGTTGCTGAGCTTGAATCATATCATCCCCTTTAACTATTTGAGCATCCACATCACTTTCAGGTATAAACTCTTTAGCAATGGGATTCAATTCTTTCACCATGACTTTATTTGTGACGTAGACTCCAGCATAGAATTATACATTTCCATCTGATAGTCACACTCTGCCAACTCGGTCTTCAGTGCAAGCAGCTCCTTCCTTCTTCTCAACTTCTCCTCCTCCTCTTCTATAGCGTGTCTTTCTTCCATGGCTTTCACATGTGCCAATACTGATGCTCTTTTAGCTGCTGCTTTTAACTTAGCAGATGAAATGGTGCTGGATTTGACACTTCTTTGTGACTGGCTACTGCCAACATTTGACACACTGTCATGAGGACTTATATCATCATCAATATACTCATCATTTTGTTTGTTTCAGTTTGAGAGAGCCACCTATTCACACTAGAAACACACTCATTATTAGGAATCATTTTGGCTTTAAACCATATTTCATGCTTTTCCCTTTCGTCACATGGCAATAACTCCAACAAGGACTCATGTGCATTTTTGGCATCATCACATACCCTTTTTAACACATCAACAATACCCAATATATTTGTGTTATCACCTTTAGACATTAGATCATGAATCTCGTGTCTTATATTACCAGTTTTATTCAGTTTTAACCTTCGCTCGTTTTGCAATTTATCAAGTTTTTCAATCAAAGCCTTTTCTGTTAATTTAACAGTGCGTTTTTTAGTTTCCCCACCGCACACCACCTGCTCAGTCTCAGTATTGTTCTCCATTTCAACAGTGCCTGATTCCATTTTGCGTGCGTTGCAATGAGAGTTCACTTGAGTTCGGCACAACGGTAATTAAAGTCACTTATATTTCAAACGAAAAGGGCAACACTCAAATGTACCTTTCAAGTGCCGCAAATCACGAGTACCAATGCATTGGATTTACTGTGTGCACACAATTGGCCATCAAAGGGTGTATTGCTACTCATACCTCGTCGGGCGCCTTAACTGTGATTCACCGTCGTCCTGTCTAACAATGAAGAGTCTCCATGATACTCCAACTTGGACTTGTCTCCTCAGCTGCCGTGATCCACTGCTCTCGATCAACTTCCCCGGCAGTGGTGCTCCACCGCCCCCCGTCGGTTCCTCGGCTGCCGCGGTCCACCTCGAAACTCAGCTCAGTAGTGCTAGCCCAGCTAACAGACGCCTCGCATATTCGCGCCACACTGTCGTCCAACGACGTCTTTGCCGTTCCGTTCAAAAGTCGTCGAAGTTCAAACAAAGTCCAAACAGGCAAGTTTTTGACAGTATAACAGCCAGTCTGATACTGCGCTGTAGATGTTGTCCCGTAGCTACGTGTTACGACACGCTTGGCGGCTACTGATAAACATGTTGTAAGTTACAGTTCCAGAGGCATCTTGTTGTGTGTTACTACCGTATTTATTGTCCTCCACACAGGTGCATTACATCCACAAAGTCTCAAAGATCTCTATTCGTTACAGACAACAGCGTTTACAGAACTCCGCCGTAGCGGTCAAAAACTTTTTGCCCTTCCGGGTCAACACTCCACACCACCTGTTGAACCCTCACAAATATAGTTGAGTGAGCAGCACCATCTAGTGGCCCGACAAACTCAGACACTATTTGGCTCCTACAGAGTATTTGTGACAGAAGGAGTATTTCCTTCAGAAAGACCGTTGGTTAGCAAGGTTAGCTAAACTTTTTTGACCCTGCCTCTTAAAAGAATCGGAATTGAGAATCTTTAGGAACTGGAATCGAAACAAGGAATCGGAATCAGAATCAGAATCGTTCAAATTCAAACGATACCCAACCCTAGATGGGAGTGAGGTTTAGGGGGGTGAGTGTAACTGCCCCAGGCCAGTGAGAGCTGTGCGTGTAAACCTCACTCTCCTGATCTCAAGAAGCACTTTAGCGACTGACACTAGAAGCTGTGGTGTTTAGCTTCCTTGTTAGTGCGTCTGCTTCCTATGCTGGAGACCCCAGTTTGAATCCTGATCGGACCAAGTCGAGTAGGACCGATTACATGTGGTGCCGTGACCCGAATGGGAGTGATGTTTAGGGGGTGAGTGTAACGTAGGCCAGTAAAAACTGTGTGTGTAAACCTCACTCCCTGATTTCAAGAGGCGCTCTAGCGGTCAACGCTAGTAGCTGTTGTCTTTAGCTTCCTTGTTAGCACGCCTTCTTCCTACGCTGGAGACCCCAGTTCGAATCCTGATCGGACCAAGTCGAGTAGGACCGATTACATGTGGTGCCGTGACCCGGGTGGGAGTGATGTTTAGGGGGTGAGTGTAACGTAGGCCAGTAAAAACTGTGTGTGCAAACCTCACTCCCTGATCTCAAGAGGCGCTCTAGCGGTCAACGCTAAAGTCTGTTGTCTTTAGCTTCCTTGTTAGCGCGCCTGCTTCCTACGCTGAAGACACCAGTTCGAATCCTGCTCTGAGCGGGTCGAGTAGAATCGTTACATTTACAATGAAAAAATTACTGTTTCACTGTACGGCACTACTTGTTAATTTCTATGGAATCTGCAGAGATCGACAGTTGTTCAACTAAAGCCATTACGATTTCCTTAATCAATTCTACTATATAATAAGAACATCTCTACTTTGAGTAGATTTTCTCATTGAGGGTCTATTAGTTAACAAAACCACACAGTTTAAACTTTTTTGTTGAGTGGAATACATTTTCCCTCAAAGAAGTACCATAGTCGTGATGGAATCAGATGGTAACCATTATACTTTAATATATACCATAATAGAGAATGATTCCCATATCCATATGCCATTTATGGATTCACGGAGTACATAAAGGTATTCCCAACAAAATGTATGTTTGACATTGAAACGTTAAATCGTGGGCCATGCATGTAGCTACACTCTTAAAAGAAATGGTTCTATTTAGAACCAGAAAGGGTTCCATCCCCCGCTTCATATATAGAACTGCAGAGGTTCTATTGGCCAAGTACGGAACCCCAGGGTTCTATATAGAACCCAGAGGAACCCTTTTTTAAGAGTGTATAGAACCTTTTAGGGGTTCCAAATACGTAGTGCTGATAGAACCTTTTAAGGTTCTATATAGAACTTTTTCTTCTAAGAGTATAGGCTATCTGAGGTGTTTTAGGCAAGATGTAATGGTCTCTGCATCCAATCACCCTTCGCCAAGAGTTTGACTGACAGGTGATGTGACCAATCATAACGCCGAAACCACCATTTTCCTGACAAAAGACCAGACAGGAGAATGTCAGTGGACTTTAACTTGAAAAATGGTATGAATCGATTGGCGTCTTGCCATGGTCAAAACAACATACCTTCTGATGTTCATTCATGTTTATTGGTGCTATAACTAGTAGTAAAGAGGAAGAGATGATCGGTTAACGTGCCGCTTGAACTGAGGCGTTAGTACAACGATCTGTCGACACATTAAAGAGCTAAAAAACGATAAATTTTTTTTAAAAATTGTAAAATCTAAGACTGTTTCATATCAACAGTCACCTGCTTTTGGCACGTTGTCAGTGTCCTCTCTGCTCCGCGATTTATTTTTTTACCATTGTTTATCGGACATAACAACAGTAACTAAGGGGTTGCGGGTAATTTGGTCCGAACGAGTGAAACCAGCTCTGAATGGTGGAACGAATGCAGCGCAATTAGCGGCCGTCCTCTGGTCATAATATGGTTGACCTCTCCAGGAACACAACAACGGCTCATCCATGAATAGCTTTGACACAAAGGATTATTATTCCAGCTCAGATGACCAAAGGCTAATAGCTTCTGTCTGCTGTCCTGAGCCCCAAAATAAAACACTTGAGCGAGCGTCGAGAGACCTCCAGCCCTTGCTCACGAAACTGTCTATCATTATGCATCACTCTGACAGGCCTTATCTACATGACATGAGGGAAAACATACAGGCCATCTAAAACAATTTACGAAGGTTCAAAGAAACCAGAGTGTTTCAGACTGAATCCTCTACAGCTCTGTAACTAGGGCACAGTGTTTTCATTTGGGGCCAAAAACATCTTAAAGCGGCGCACGGAGGTGGGATTATTCCAGAAGGAAGATTAGAGAAGGAATAACCAGCAAAACAAGCCTTCGGTGCCTGTGCCTGCTGAGAGAAATGATCATCGCTAATGTGAAGAGCATCTGTTTACTGCAAATGGCTTCTATTGGTATCATATATATATCAAACACATCAGTCAAGCAGATTAAATAGCTGATATTTGACCCTTTTGAGACACTTTTATACTAGATACGCATTATGCATTTGTGTTATTTTAGTATCATTGAGATATTATGAGGCTATAGCTTTTTGGTAACACTTTACAATACGGTTCATAACATTCGTTAACTACCTTATTATCATTTTCAACATGTACTAATACATCATTAAAATCAAAGGTTGTATTTGTGAACATTAGTTAATGCACTGTGAACTAACATGAACAAATAATGAACAGGTGTATTTGTATTAATTAACAAATATTAATAAATACTGTAACAAATGTATTGTTCATTGTTAGTTCATATGTTAACTAATGAATCTTTGTAAAGTGTTAGTGTTAAAGTAAAAGTAGTGTTCATTTAATTAGTCTGTGCGTTATGTTAAACTTTCAGCAGTTTACTCGTAGTTTATTGCAGAAGTTTAGATCAATCGAGACTTCACCATGTGAGAAACCGCATTTAATACGTTCATGTTGACATAGACGTGCTTGAAACGGAACAAGAAGCTTAGGTGTCCCAATTCTCCCAATGTCCCAGATTATCCTAATTCACCCTGGATTCACCTCGTGTAAAATACCGAGACAGGTTTTTGGGAAAACAAACTAGCAGAATACGCAGGTGACATGCGCAGGTGACTCAGTTAGAAACAAGGTCACGTGAAATAAAGCTACATAATTGTTGTTGTTGTTATTATTATTATTAGCATGTATGATCAAAGTGTTTTTGTTTATATCTACCGTATGTCTATTTACAGTCGTATTGCTTTTATTATTTTTCTTTGATAACTGCACTCACTAGAACAAACTAATGGAAAATGCGTGTGTGTGTGCGCGCGCGCGCGTGTGTTAGAGAGAGAGAGGGAGAGGGAGGGAGGGGCGTTGTCATCGAGATGTCCTTCGACTACAGCTCGGGGGAAAGAGTGAGAGCAGATCAAACCGGAGAGCATCAGAACAGCCACTGGACGCAGCAATAACAGGTATGAGGGAGTTTTATGGACATATTAACTATCATTTTGTGTTTTAGGAGATTTGAACTCTGCCGTGAGATGTTTACTGTGTGCAGTTGAGCAGATCAGTCTGTGTTACTCTTCATCCTCTTATCCAGGACTGTGTGACACAGTTATAAAGGACGTTAATATGAACAGCACAATTAATCACGATGCTGTTGTATTTTATGATTTATGTACCTCTTGAGATGAGCTATGAAAACTTTGGGTTGAACTGAACCTGTTCCATTGCTGTGATAGGCTAGTGGTTAAAACTAAAAGTTATTTTAAGATTTAAATATAAATAAACTCTAGTTTATAAATAAACTAAATGCGTGTTCTGTAATTTAGAATTATTATTTTTGTTTTATTTTGGAATTATTTAGTTTTGTTTTATTATTTTTGTTTAGTTTTTATTTGTGGATAAAAAACTAGAATCAAATAATAACATATACATTCTAAAATAAAATAAAATAAAATGATGTAACAAAAATTATATATATGCCCAAGCAAATAAATAAACAACAAAATGTATATGTATTATATATATATATATAAATTATATATAATATATACAAACAAAAATTATATATATATAAATATATATTTATATATATATTATTATTATATATATTATTATTTATTTATTTGCTTGGGAATATATATATATATATATATATATATATATATATATATATATATATATATTCCCAAGCAAATAATAAATAATAATAATAATAATAAAATATATACTTAGCTATACTTAATATAATATATACTTAATATATACTTAATATATATTATATACTTATACTATATACTTGATATATAATATACTCTACTTAATATATATTTTAACTATTATTATAATTATATCTATATATATATATATATATATATAGATATAGATATATATATATATATATTACTTTATTTTTATATATATATATATATATATTTTTTGGTATATATATATATATATATATATATATATATTACTTTATTATTTTTATATTTATATAGCCTAAGTATATATTTTATTATCATTATTATTATTATTATTAATTTTTGTTACATCATTTTATTTTATTTTGGAATGTATATATTATTGTTTGATTCTAGTTTTTATTTGTGAATATTTATTTATTTTATACCAGTTAAATTATTATCATCTTAAAGGAAGCACAAGTATCAAATAAAATCCTGTAAACAAATTCTTACCTTTTAGTTAATATTATCAGAATTTCAATATATGCAGGATAGTTCATCCCACATTTTGATGTTTCTATCCTCTTACATTGCAGATAAAAAAATAAACGCATCAAATTTACCTGTGTTTAATGAGCTGATGAGTTTATATGAACACTTTCATTAATAAGTCATTCTGAAGCATTATATCATTTGTCACAGAATATGAATAAATGAATGCAAATGTTCTGAAGCAGCATCATAATGTTAATAATAAAATAAATAAATCTATTTATTAAGTTGTATGAATAATAAGTTGATGAAAATCATTATAATGTGTTTCCCATCCCAGATTATTTCTTACAGTTGAAAGACAAACGCAGGTGAAAATGGGCGTGTCCAGAGTTCTGCTCGGCCTTGCCTGCCTCGTTCTATTGGCTGCTGCTGTGATGAGTCACGAGGGGGCGTGTCTTCAGGACGGGAGACACAAAGCCACGCCCAGTCCTGAGGCCCGTCTGAAGGACTGCTCGCTCTACTCAGAGAGTGTGTACACACACTTTATAGTCCTCTCATAATACAATCACACAGCTGATAAAACTAGTCAAGATTAGTTCAATTCACAACTAATTCATTTTACTTCCCAGTTGGGACTGTATTGTTTGTAGTTTGTCCCAGGTTGTTAATGTTTGTTTGTGTGTGTGTGTGTTCAGATTCATGTTGTTCTGAGACAGATGTCCAGGATCTCTCCAGCTCCGGGGACAACTCTCTCTGGGACAAGTGTGGTCTTCTCAGCCCTCTGTAAGATTATTCATTCCCTAAATAGATATGATTCATATTTACACTGTAAAATCTGGAAATTGAGTGATTCTATCAGATAGTTTTCTGCTTTTAGCAGGTGATAATAGTTTTGAACTATGTAATTAGTTCAAAACTATGAACTAATTTGGCAGAATTTTTTTTCTCAATTCTCATGTTGAAATATTTCCTATTAAATAGAAGTTGTGACTGAACATGTTACAGGGTTTGTCCTTTTCTAGACTCTAGATGGCAGTAGGTGTTTGTATGATTGTTTGGTTTATTCATATATTTAGTTAGTTATTTTTAATCCAGATTTGTTTGTTTATAATTATTTATTTATATATATTTATTTAATTTTTATTACTTAATTTATATATTTATTTTAGAACGAGGTTTGTTTGTTTGTTTATAATTCATGTTTATATATTTTTAGTTTATTCTCATTTATTTAAATATTTATTTTAGATCCATTTTTTTGTTTATAATTCATGTTTATATATTTTTTATGTTATTCTCATTTATTTATTTATTTATATATTTATTTTAGATCCAGGTTTTTTGTTTATAATTCGTATAATTTGTTTGTTTGTTTTTAATTAATTTTATTTATTAATTTATATATTTAGTTATTTTTAATCAAGGGTTTTTTTGTTCATATATGATTCATGTTTATTTATTTCAAATTCATTTTAATTAATTTATATCTTTAGATAGTTATTTTAAATCCAGTTTTTTTTTTATAATTCATGTTTATTTATTAATATATTTAGTTAGTTATTTTTAATCAAGGTTAGTTTGTTTATAATTCATTTATTTATTTTAAATTAATTTTTATTTAGTCATTTATATATGTACTTAGTTATTTTTAAACCAGGTTTGTTTGTTCATAATTCATGTTTATTTATTTTTAATTAATTTATATATTTAGTTAGTTATTTTAAATCCAGGTTTGTTTCTTTAAAATTCATGTTTAATTTATTTTTAATTCATTCTTTTCTATTTGTTTATTATTTTTCGCTTATGTGCTGATGTTATTTTCGTGCGTGTGAAGTTTTGTGTAAATGCTCATTATTCTTTTACTGAATGTGTTTGTGAAGGATCATCTATTTTTCTTTAACTAAAAAAAGACAATATATATATATATATATATATATATATATATATATATAAATAAATAAATAAATAATAGCCCCCCTCACTCTCTCTCTCTCTCTGTCTGTAGCTGTGAGTCCTTTCTGAAGCGCGTGGTGTGTTTCTATCGCTGCTCTCCTGACGCTGCTCGCTGGCCACACCCACATCATGACTCCTCCCTGAAGGCGGTGCCTCTGTGCCACAGCTTCTGCAGAGACTGGTGAGGCCCCGCCCACTCATGCTCACATACACATGTCTTCAGGTCCTTTTGTGATGAGCTGTTGGTAATATGCTGACCAGAGATGTCACTGTTGCAGGTACGAGGCCTGTAAACTGGACCTGACGTGTGCTCGAGACTGGGCCACCGACCCAAGAGGACAGAACTGCACCGGCGGCTGTGTGTCTTACCAACAGGTAACGTCATACCAAACATTATACATCAAACTCACTTCTAGATCTGTACATTTCTGAAGAAAATGTGATATTTGTCTGGGCAAAACTCATTGCTGTGGTGTTGTAGGTGGTTGCCAGGGGGTTGCTATGGAATTGCCAAGGTTTTAAAAATGTTTTTAGTGTGTTTCTAAAGTGTTGTTAGTGGCTTTTGGCACATCGGTGTGTGTTTTGGGTGCTTGCCAGGGTGTTGCTATGCAGTTGCTAAGGTTTTAGTTTGTTGCTAAAGAGTTTTAAGTGGGTTTTGGCTCAACGTGGGGTATTTTTATGTAGTTACCAAGGTGGTCTTATTTTGCTAAGAGGTTGTGAATGTTATGGTGTTCTGAGTAGGTATTGTGGGTGGTTGCCAGGATGTTGCTATGTAGATTTTTATAATGTTGGTAATGTGTTGCTAAGTGGTTGATTTGTTAAACTTTGGCACATTGCTATGTGCTCCTAGGCTAGGGTGTTGAGGGGGGCTTTCTGGTTGTTGCTATGCAGTTGTTAAGGAGTTTATAATGTGTTCTAAAGGGGTTGGTTACCAGGGTGTGTGTCTTAGTGGTTGCCATGGTGTTGCAAGAAAGTACTTTTTAATATTTTTATAGTGTCCCTAAGTTGTTGCTAAAGTTTTTTGATGACATTTTAAACATTGCTGTATTTCAACGATGTTGTACGTGATTGCCAGCATGTTGCTATGCAGTTGCTAAGGTCTTCTGAATATTATTTTAGTATGTTGTTAAGTGGTTGCTAAGGTGCTCCGAATAGTTTTAGCGCATTGCTATGTATTACTATGGTATTATTGGTGGTTGCCATGGTGTTGTTGCTAAGTTTATTATGTTATAGTCTGTTACTAGGAGGTTGCTAAGGTTGTTTGACACATGCTGTATTGGCATGATATTGGTATGCAGTTGTTAAAAGGTTCTGAGGAGTTTTTTTTACATGTTTCTATGTGGTTGTTTAGGTGTTAGCTGTTACTAGGGTGTGCTGAGTAGTTGCAAGGGTTTTGCAATGTGGTTGGGAAGGAGTCATTAATATCTGGGGCTTTTGTGTTGAGCTTTAATTACTCAGAGGGATAGTTTTAATCTAATCTCCACATTGGGACTCAACAGAGCAAAAGAAATAATGAAGTGTTTTCACATCGCCATGTTTCCATTACCCTTCAAATTGAAATTGCGAATTGAAAATGCATAAATTTCGCAAAAACGCCCATATATCGCAAAAAAGGTTTTACGCTCGGTGATTTTTCAGGCAATTCGAAAATAATCAGGAATATTTCGCAAAAATGCAATGGAAACAGTTTTTACTCAATTACAGGTCACCTAACGTAGATAGAGCGGTATGTTTGGACAGAATACGATACGAGACAGAGTTCTTTATTAAACTCATAAAAGGCAAAAGTATTACAGGATTCCTAGACTCTAAACAACAAGGAAATGCCATAATCAAGACCATTGAAGCATTCCTTCCCATTGATGCTTGGATAACACGCCTACGTCTCCTTCCATTAATAATAATGGCTACCCAGATAGCAAACTGACATTGAATCAACGTGGAAATACGTTGATCTGACATTGTTTTGCTCATCGAATTAACGTTGAACCAACGTCAGATGCGTCATTCTTTCAAAACTAACGGAAAATCAACTTGAAATCAACGCGTTGTTTCAACGTTATGAAAGCAAACCAATTTTCGATTTCATTTAGCTTTGAAGAATGCCGCGTCTGACGTTGGTTCAACGTTAATTCGATGAGCAAATCAACGTTGTTTCAATGTCATGAGAGTAGTCGTTTCCACGTTGATTCAATGTCAGTTTGCTGTCTGGGTAGTGTGTTGGCTGGGATACATGTAAAAAATTACGTTTTAGTTGCACAACTTCAGTTAATGGAAACGGCGTCATTTCGCAATAGTTTTTTATCGACATTTACAAAATAGCACAAACTTTTGTGCAAATCTGCAATGAAAATGTGGCTACTGTCTGATACAAACATTACTTCAGAGGTTTCCCACATAGCAAATTTTTTTCTGGCCCAGCTCCGGTCCACAAACCCTTTTACATGTGAAACATTTATGGAAATTTGCACTTTATTTAAAACAGAATAGTTTACTTTAATTTTAAGGAGATAAATATACACAATAGGAGTATATTATGACAACATATTAATAAAATTATGCCCCTTGATAAACGAAATGAATGAAATATTGCTAGGGTTGGGTATCGTTTGAATTTGAACGATTCTGATTCCGATTCCGATTCCTTGTTTCGATTCCGGTTCCTAACGATTCTCGATTCCGATTCTTTTAAGAGGCAGGGTCAAAAAAGTTTAGCTAACCTTGCTAACCAACGGCCTTTCTGAAGGAAATACTCCTTCTGTCACAAATACTTGTCACAAATTTTGCATTTTGCCGAGATTTCGTTAGTTTTGGAAAAGTGAAGCCACACTTTGGATCGCCGACGTAAGCTACTCATGTTCGACTCGCGTGGTTATGCCAACACTTCCGGTAGACGCTTCTTCGTTGGTGTTGTTCAGCGGTTTCTTCTTCCGCTCGGCGGACTGTGAATATCGAAACTAGGAATCGGAATTTTAACTTTTGAACGATTCCGGGAAAAACGAAAAGTTAGTCTCGGTTCCAATCGATACTCGATTCTCGATACCCAACCCTAAATATTGCATGGTTTTGGTTAATCAATCACAGAAAATTTTATCAATTCAATATTTTAACTGTAGTAGTAGTGTTAAAAAATTAACCCTTTAAATGCCAAGTCATAACAGATGAAAGATTATCATTTCAAATGAAGTAAATTGTCAATCAGTCAAGTCAACAATAAAGTTAACACTTAATCGGCTCAAGGTCTCAATCCTGATTTGGAGCAGATGATCACTGGATTGATCTGGGACACACTCCTCCCACCAACAATCGCCCTCATGTTGTTTGCCGTGATCATGCTTTGCCATCATTGCCACACATGAACCGGATCTGGCTGACAGGAGACATGCCATTGCCAGCGTGAGGACACATTCGGGCCAAGATCACTTGCTATGTGGGTTGTTCACATCACCGTCAGAACTGGAGAGAGTATGTGACTCCAGGCATGGACACAGCTGGAACATCTTTGGAAAACACAAACACACAGTGAACGTGTCAGTTCATGTCACATTTCCTCATCACCACTGACATGCTGTACATGTGAAAAGAGAGAGACTCTGAGAGAGAGATGTGAATCGGTGCAACCGGCCTCTTGTGCAGTCATGTGGTTCATATAATGTCATTTGTTGTTTCGGCATTGAAATAACCAAAATTATGGTTGTAAAAAGATTACAAAATACTTATAAATGAACATTGAATTTTAACAACTTATTCAACTTCTTTTATTCAACTGTGATTCAACTTTGATACACTCATAAGTAAACGATGAATCATTTATTTGGTGAATGGAGTTATATATATATATATATATTAGGGATGCACCGATATGAAATTTTTAGGCGATACCAATAACCGATAATTCGTTATATTTGAAAGCCGATAACCGATATATCAGCCGATAAACTTAAATCCAAATTTTTATCTAACTTTGAGAGCCTGATTACAAAAACAAAAGTCTCACAATTAAATCCATGTCCCAAGCGCACAATTATAATGATGTTCTCCAGTCGATATGACAGATTTGCGCTGCACATGTTGTCCCGAACCAGATTTTCATTTTTTTTGAAGAGATTTCAAGCATATTTCAAGAATTTCAAAAACATAAACAGTTCTCAACAAGTGTCTCAGCTGAAGGGAATAATACATTATTTATCGGTTTTAATATATCGGCCACATTTTCTTACCAGGCCGATAACAATAACATTAAAAATAAACATATATCGGCTGATATGCTGGCCGATATATCGTGCATATATATATATACATATATCAGTGACCACAACATGATTTTTAATGTTAAACACACGTTTCTGCCATTCACTTTATGAGGTTTAACAGTGAAAAGGACTTGATTTAATCATGATGAATTGACTGGATGTGTCTCTATATGAAGGTGCTTGATAAATCAGAGAGATAAAGCCCGATGTCAGCCGGAAATTAAAGTCGTTTCGGAAGTGGAAGTGAAGTTATGGTTTTCATAAAAGATTATACTTTTTTCTCAGAATAGCATGCAGTGGTGAATCATTGCCAATAAGAGCAGGACCGTGAATTAAGACACTAAAACGAGTCATAGTTGATCCCATGTTGGTTTTAAGATGGTTGTGTTTCTTTGGAAATGCCGCTGGCAGTAAAAATGCATAATCAACACAATCATCATCACATGTGCATAACCACGAGTGACAGAGAAACACACACACACTTCACATGTTCTTCTGAGGGGTGAAAATCACAGCCAATAATGAGATAGAGAAAGCAGAGGAGGTGTGTGTGTTTTCTACTTGAGGAATCATTAAAGCTGATGTGCGAATTTAACGACAGACAATGTTAGCAGCGGATCTGAAATGTTTTATCATCATTACACATAATATTTTTGACGCTACATGGATGGTAAGATCCCTCATAACTGCAGCTGTGCTCTTCCTGCTGCTTTTTTATTTCCCCAGTTGAATAAAAGCAGTCTGAAGAACTATCAAGGTTGATTTTGGTTGTAAATTCTGCTGTTAATGTATATTTACTGCTAGTTTTTATGTTTTAAAAATGAACAATACCATTCAATTACACAACATTAGCGTGAGTCTTCTTTTACACTCAGTTTTCTCATTGGATCAAACCAAAGACTTTATATATACAAAGACTATGCACTCATTGCACTCATGTTACTATTAAAGGGAGAAAGTGAAACACACAATATGGCGAAATAAGTCCCGCCTTCTAAATATAAGAGCCAATCACCAATTGGTAAAGTAATCGTGTCACAGCTTAAGATGCGCGCTTTGGACTGGACATGAAAATAAGACCTTTTTACGACTATTTGAGTGGTTAAAACCTTACCTGGTGATTTAGAGAATTATATGTTTCCCCATTCAAAGAAATAGGAGCTGGACTATGAAAATTAGACCTGAAAATGAAACTGTCGTAAATCTTGAATGCCTTAGAGCACAGACTAAAGTTTGAAGACGACATATGGCAGATTATTGTTGAAGTGAATTGTTGAAGTGAACACGTTTATTGGTGTGAATAATTATACTATTTAAAATTTTTATATGAAATACATATTTTCAAAAATATGTTTTACTCTAAGGCCAAAGCGTTTTTAGCCAGCTGAAAACGCTAGACGTTCTGCCGAAGACGTCGTGCTTTGGGCGCTTGAGGGCGTTTTGGCAGCGCAGCGTTTTTCCCGTTGAGGCGTTTCGTTGCTATGTTACAGAATATCCGCAGCACAGTTTGAATGTTGTGACAGTTGGTCGGTGTGGTTTAGTCCCGCCCCTCCTCCACTGTGATTGGACGGCTGGGTAAAAAGTGACAGTGATGAGCGCTGCGTTTTATCCAAAGTTGAACAATTTTTAACTCTCGGCGACCAGTAAAAACGCCAGGCGCTCGGCGCTTCAGCGTGAAAAAAACGCTCATGGCGTTTAAAAAACGCGGTGCTCCCATTGAAAACAATTGAAAACATACGCCAGGCGCTTGGAAAAACGCTTTGGTGGACACACGGCCTAAACCTGATAAAATCAAAGCCACAAATCTAAACAAGTCTAGTTTTGAGGTTGATATTTCAAAATAATTCGCTTTCAGTCAGTTGTTGTTTGGCCGCAGTACCAAACGCTTCCACTAGATGAAATTCGTCTCATTCATTTCCAACGTGCTCATTTTGGACCGCGAGGAGCACAAGTGTGACTTTTTTTTCCCCCAGACCATTTAACCTGTTCGAATCATGTCCATGATTCTTTTTGTGTGTTCGCACAGCAAGTGCCAAAACCTTTACCAAGTTTCGTACCATTCCAATGAAGTAAAAAAATTAAAAACGCAAATTTTTAGATCAAAAATGACCGAAGAGCAGAAGTACTTTGATAGAAGTTAGATAGTTATTTGTTTTGCGTACTTGTGAGCATGTTCTGATCATCCATGCATCTGTGTTTGTTGATCAGATGTATCAGCACGGGCGAGACCTCTGCGAGAGTCTTTGGGGAGACGCCTTTATGACGGTTGAGGACGACCCTGGTGAAGAAGACGGTGTCGAAGGCCATAGCTGCGGCTGTCTGACTCTCAGCCCCTCAGATCGAGAGGTGATCGCGGCCCTCAGGGTTCAGGAAGGAGACCCCGAAGAACTGGACACCACCAAGAGCGGCCTGCCCCAGTACAGAGCACCCTGCCCCCCTGCGCAGCCTCAGACACGCAGCGCCACAGCGCCACCTCAGGCCCGGAGGAGCAACACCGTCCTGCGCAAACGCTCCATTCTGGCCGCCGATATGGAAGGCAGTGGAAGCGGCTTCTAGAACATTTGTGTTCTAGATCTTCTGAATGTTTATTATCAACTGTTCTGTTTTATCTTATCCGTTGAATTTAAAGGAAACGGATGCAGTGCGCTTTCTACCGTAATTCTATTGTCTATTTAACACAGTCGACAAAACAATCCTGGATAGACTCAAACTAGTTCTGTAAATTTGAATTTCTGCGTATTTTGACCTGTTAAAGGTGCATTGTGTAATATTTAGGAGGATCTGTTGACAGAAATGCAATTTCATATACATAACTAAGTTTTCAGTGGTTTATGAAGACCTTACATAATGAACTGTTATGTTTTTATTACCTTAGATTCAGCCATTTCTATACATACACACACCGCGGGTCTGCTTACTTCGACATGTTTCTACGGTGGCCCCGAACGGACACACGCGTTTCGTCACTATGTTGTTCTTCATGTAAAGATCAACCTAAAGTCATCGAATGAAACACTGACATAATGATAAACAAGTAACAATAATATTCACAATAACGTATCGTTTTACTGAATAATTAAGTAAACCTAATTTCTTCATTTATCTTTGTAAAGAAACCTCATTGCTGAACTGGCTACTCCCTGCTGTCTCAGATGACGACATGACTTCCTGTCGGCCACCGTAACTTTTGTTATGTGTAATTCACAACCTCACCACTAGATGCTGCTAAATATTACACACTGCACCTTTAAAGTCAACATGACAAGTTGAATTTAAGTCTGAATCTCATTGAATATTTGGTAACATTTTACGAATAATGAACAATATGGCATTTATTAATCTTAGCTAATGTTAATCTCAGCATTTACTAATGCATTTTTAAAATCAAAGTTGTGTCTGGTAACATCAAGTAATGCTCTAACCCCAACATGGACGAATAATGAATAACTATATTTTTATTAGCTAACATTAACAAAGATTAATAATGCTGTTTAAAATATATTGCTCATATTAGTTAATGCATTAACTACTACCAATAAATAAGACCTTATAAAGTGTTTTCAAATATTCTTATTCACCTGGAAATATCACAAATTACATCAGGAATATGGGTTGCGAATCTTGTTTTATGTACAATTGAACTGTTCAGTGTGTTTTTGTATTTGCCCACTGCATGAAACTACATCATTTACAAATATTATTATGGAATTTTTGTCTCAGTTTAGACTTTGTCTAAATGTTGCTATTGTCGCTTGTTTCTATAACTGTGATATTTCATGCGATCACAACAAGTATGGATGTCTCATTTCTTCTAACACCACATTATCATACATGCATATAGCCTAGTCTTTACATTTCACACAGTCGTATGTGTAATTCATGTCTGTGTGTTTTGAGTAAATGACATTATTAGTGGAAACGCAGATATGATTCAGCTGTAATTTACTCTTACGTATTTATACAGACGTATATAAAATGTAATGCTGTAAAGAAAAACTGTGAGAGCACTATAAGTTCTGTATGACTGGTTATAAATGAGTGTACTAGTTGACTGTTTAACAGTGAACATGCGGACATGTCTGTATGTAAACAGATGGCCAGTGTGAGCAGTTTGATGTTTCAGTATTATGTGGCTGCCTTGAGTATGTGTTTCTCATCTGATCTTATATGTCTTTAATTAATAAATTAACTAAACTTGTTCTTTAAACTGTTCTTTTTAAAGCAGTTTAAACTGTAATCTCGTCATTGTTATTATAGAAACACTTTAGTATTATAGAAACACTTTATCATATGACATTCATACTGTCGTAAACAACGTGATTATGAGATATACCCGTAAAAAAATAGAAAATACTCGTTTTACACGTGACCACTGCGGATTAATCATGGGATTAATGGCCTAGGAAGTGACACGCACAACTCCGAATCCGAGGACGTAAACATGTTGTCATCTGGTAATTACGGTAATTACTACAAAATAGGCTATATTTTTTGTTGTACAAGTCTGTTATTCTGTTTATGTTTGTCCCGCGCTGTCCGTTCTCACTATCACAGCGGCGCCATCTTTGATTTGAATGGAAATTAAACATCTGACCTGTGAGGGATAGACATAAATTGTGTTTTTAGATTGTTCAGCTTACATATTTCCGAGAAATTTCAGTTAAAAACAAAACAAACAAACAAACAAACAACAACAACAACAAAAAAGACTAAATGAGCTGTAGAAATGTATAAGTGAAGTCGAAACTTTATACAGCGGGGGATGTCAGTCATTGTAAACACGGTAAGTTTATCCCTCGCTTTCATACTGTCATGGCGCTGCTTATTATTCATTAGCTCATCAATCCCCCAACTTAGCATAGCCTACTACAGTATTTTCTTCAAAATCATTTTGAAGTGCCTTTATGGCACTCGCAGCACTAGATGGCGCCATGGACACATTTTAAGTAGAAACTGAAACACATTCAGTTGATTCCTGAATTCATGATCTCTTGACCTTTAGCGCCTTGCGCGACCCAACTTATCTAACCACAAAAACTCCCACGGATCACAAGAAAAGCATCTGGTTAAGCCAAAAATAGTAGCTATATGTATGTCAGGCAGTGTTATTTTAGTATAATGGTACTCTTACACCAGTAGCTAGTATTCATTCATATTTTGAATAGGCCTACGCCTACATACATGCACTCTCTTAAGAAAAATGGTTCTGATTAGTACCAAATTGTGGTTCTTGGGCTTGTAACAATAGCAGAACCATATATGGTGCTAAATAGAGCCCTTTATATAACCCTTTATATAATATTACTATTATTAAATATACATTTTAAATGATTTAATAAGCTAATCTAGTTTTTTTTAGTCCTCTATGCCTCATATGTCTCATATCTTGTTGCCTCTACTTGGGTTTTACATTATTATTTTTTAAATAGCATGTTGTGTCCAATTAGGCACTTTTATTTATTTATTTTATTGTCATGGCAGATTGCAACAAAAATACGTTACTACGTCGTAGACGCACACCTCTGCAATTATCATAATGCCTAATCATCTTGCCACACCTGTGAGGTCAATGGATTCTCTCGGCAAAGGAGAAGTGCTCACTTACACAGATTTAGACTGATTTGTGAACAATATTTGAGAGAAATAGGCCTTACAGAAATAGTCTTAGATCTTTGATCAGCAGCAAAAGGTTAAAAAAATGTTAAAAAGCAGCAAACCAATGATACTTGAGCCTGATTATGCAACAGTCGTGTTGTGTCAGTGTCGGTGGGTGTTTGACGGAAAGTGTCACTCAATCTGAGCCTCAGCGATCATCTATCAATCTTGGAAAGGACAAGAAGGAATATTCATGAGATGGAAGGAGAGATTTGTGTGTGAGTGGGAGAGAAGAGATGAAATGTGCAAATCAGCGTGTGATGGAGGAGATGGGCCCACATTTTGTCGTCATCATCAGTCACTGATGTTTCTCCCTCTGTAGCCTACAGTCTGTCAGGCGTTAGAAAGCCTCTTCATGTAGAATAGAGGGGAAGTATGAAGAAGAAATTCTCCAGAAAGCTCTTCAGGCTAATCACGAAGGCGGGATAAAAATAACACGCGCAGGTTCTGGTGAGAAACTTTGCTGAATGAGCTTTGACTCATTCATGAGCGCTGGATTTATACAGGCCTGGGAGCCATTCTTGTGCCAATTAAACTGGGGAAAAGCGAAACGAGAGAGAAACAATCAACGGCGGAGTGAGAAATATTGACAACTGCAGCATCATTTTACCGTTTCTAGTTCAAATTAGCAGTGTGTCGAAACAATGGAGAATTTAACACCATTGCTCAGGGACATTTAGGGTAGGCTAATGATCTTTCGCCGCTACAACCTCTAATATTTTTAGCTAGAGGCAAGAGCTCTTCATTCACACTCTTTCCATTTCTTGTGAGTTGCTTCTCTCTCTCGCTAAATACGATAAACCACCACAGGTCAAGATGACACGGTTATTTTAAAGTCCCCCTGTAGCCAATAAATTTGTCCCTTAAAACTCATCTTTGATCACCAAAATGACACATTTAAACGTTTTTCCTTGAAAATAAGTTCTTTGTGTCTTGAAAATAAATCTACACTCTTGCCTCATTGCGGTTCTATGAATATGCAAATTTGTTTGTGACGTCAGAAACACCAGCGATTTTTGAGTCTGTCTTTGGTTCACTGCAGTTTTAAAGAAGAAATACTCAGCAATTCAGTCGACTTATGAATTTACACATGGTTTGTCTTAAAGCATATTAAAAACACCACATATAAACAACATTAAAAACTTGAACTTTAGATTCCAGAGAACATTTGATTGGACAGAAGATGTGATGAGACTGAAGTCTGTTGTGAATATGATGTCATTAAAATCTGTGATCCATTTTAACATTTTTGAATGCTTATATCTCCTAAATACGAAATTTTGTCATTGTTTTGGAACACACCAGCTTTATTCATAACCTTACGACTAACATATTCATACTAAAATCTAATAATAAAAAAAAATACATTTTGGTTTCAGGGGGCCTTGAACCTTCACATAGAAAAGTCAACAAACATCAAAATGGAACAAGTCCATTGAAAAAAGAGAGTTAGTGGGTGGGATCGAAGAAACACTCATGGAACTAAAAGAGATGTTGATATTATTGAGTTTCAGATGAAATGAAACACACGACGGTGTGCACCTTTAAAATCTCCAAAACAACCTGAGCTCGCGTGCGTGTGCGCGCGCGTACTTTCAGCGTTTTGATGTGGCTTCCCCTGATTTCCACCTCGAGAGCGAGCAGAAAAACACGCAGGTGGGTCACTGACGTCACTGGCGGGTGGACCCGAGTGGGCTTTTCTCACCGTGCACTAAAAAAAAAAAAAAAAACCCCGCTCCGGCCCGTTTTCCGATGGAGTGGCTCAAAAAACAAACGTCACATGCGCGTTTCAGAGACTAGCTTTGTTATTTGAACTATATTTGTGTGTAGCTAGCATGGCATTTTCATGGTTATAAAACTAGGCTAACTATTATTTTAGTGGAATCATTGTTTCAATATTTAATTAATAAATCCGTTATTGAGGTAATTAATTCAGAAAGATCAGCTCAGGGTCACATATTCCCATGCTAATGTTCTTCATTCATTCCATTGGCAGTGCCAGACCCGCTTCTCTCATGCGCGCCCCTGCCGCGCGCGCCTCCGGTTCAGTCATTCCAGAGTGCGCAGTCACTTCCCAAATGATATATTCATTTCCAGAACACATCCAAACCACTAAGTATGATACATTAAGAGCAGATGATTCGGCTAATATAATTGTTACAATTTGACTGAAAAAAATATAAACCAGTCTAGCTGGATTAGGTTGTTCTCATGTGAAACCAAACCAGTTTAGTTTTGGAACAGTAAACTCGTTTTCTTACAGTATCGTACAATGAATTGGGCCTAATAATAACAACAGATACATTTCTATTAATGCGACTCTAATCTCTTCATCTATAACATCATTCAGCTTCTAAAATAAACTCATATCTAATGCTGAAGGTGTGTTTTCTTCCCTGACCATATTTTGACCCCTGATATAAAGTTTCTGTATAAAGTCCTTCTCCTTCCTTATCTTTCATGAAATTGTGGAGAATCATCTTTGGATAAAAAAAAATAGCCTTTATATCAAATAATTGATTGTTTACATTTTGCCTATTCATGTCTTGTAATTTTCTTAATAAATGAGTCAATGTCCACAGAATATTATATGAACTATAATATGTGAATAAAATTAATTGACATAAAAATACTTTTTTTTTCATTCACCAATCAATTCTTTTTTATAAAACGTCTTTTAAAAAAAATATATATATATTTATTTTTTTTTCTTCAAAAATGTCTTTATTCAATTCGTTTCTATGCTCAAAACATTGTTGACCTAGATACAAAGTATATATATTTTTTACTTTTATATAGCCTTTTATAGGCTTTATTAAATAGGCCTACGTAAAACCTATAGGGTTAAAACCCTAACCCTAAATAAGTCAAATGTTAACATTTAAGTATTATAATAAATAGACTAAATAATAATTAAGCTACTATCATTATTTTACAATTCTAAAATGTTTGTTTCTATTCTCTCAAAAGTTTTTTTTTTTTGAATATATTCTTCATTAGACTGTAAGTTCCGCATATTAAAGCCTACATCATTGTTTCCTTGTTAGCTCTCAACCCACTAAACTCCATGGAAACACACACACACACACGCACACACAGTGGTCTTGTCCAACTTCGGAAACCCCCTATCTCTGATCCTGGATCGGTGAACTTCTCCACTTGGGCTTGTGGGTGGAGTGTGACGTACGAGGACCAAAAAAACTACCATATATGGAAGTGCTGCTGACGTCAGCAGGAAAGGCCTAGTGCCCCCTTTTGTGAACGCGCACACTCAAGTATTAATCAATACACACACAACCCCCAGAAAACAGCTGATTACTTTACAAAGAGTTAAATAAACATTAAAGCTATAATCAAAATGGCCGTGTTTTGTGTGTGAACGACGTCATGTGGACTTCGAGGAACGGTCAGCATAAGAATTAGGCTACAAAACAGCTCGAAAACACAACACAAATGAAAAGCCATACACATGGAAAGTTATATTTCAAAATCTTTACTTAAATAAACAGCGCACACATAAAACAGAAAAAAAGACATTGTAAACATATGACATTGGTAACATAGTGTCAGGATCAACCTGAACAGTAGCCTAACAATAATTTATGAGTTCAGGATCGGTTGTGTTACTGCACACGACAATATCAGATGCGTTTACATGATCAAATACACTTTGGATCATGACAAAAACACAGTTTTGATACGGAAGCGTCGACTGGCCTTTTCCACTTCGTCTCGGAGCCTCAGAGTCCGTTCCGTCCCCTTCTGGACGGATGGTTCGCTTTAATCGTGTATCTGAACCCAGGACGTGTCCAAAGTACCTCATCTGAGAGCGCGTGCACGCGTTCTCACCGTGGAACATAAACAATTTCCAGTGTTATGTTTGTTTATCAGAGTCCAACCGCGTTTAAAACGCCTCCATCTTACTGGTCAGCATGAGCTGACAGCCGCTGCTCACGTGCCTCAGGACCTTTTGTTTAAGTTGCGCCACCTGTTCCCGCAGAACGGAGGCTGTGTTGGACAGGCCAGCGTTGTCAGACTTCAAACACTTGACTTTGTCCTCCAGCCGCGAGATGCGCTCCAGTTTGCGCCTTCGGCATTTCGTGGCCGCAAGTCGGTTGCGAAGCCGTTTGCGTTCCGCTTTAATGCGCTCCTGGTTCTCCATGTCGATTGGAGACATTGGTGGTGACGAGCCGTCGCTGCTGTGCATGTCGGGAACGGTCTGCGGTTCTTCTTTCAAAGGCGCGAAGCGCGGCGCGGAGTGCTGGAACGCGTGCGTGTTTTCCGGGTGTTGAATATGAGGAGGCAGGTAGTTGATGGTGGTGGACGGGTGGTTTGGTGCGGGGCAGTACGCGTTGAGCGTCGTGTAAATGGGAGGCTCGTTTTGCAGGGAGGAGCCGAAAACGGACGCTGTTGTCGCGCACGTCGTGACGCCGCCAGCTCCAATCGACACGTTGGGCGGGGGCATGTGGTGCATCTGGTGAAGCTCATCCAAAGCCTTGACGAAGCCCTCCGCGAAGCCCTCCTGCTCGTCGGTGATCCCCCGACCGTAGAGGTACTGGCCCGGTGTGGGCGTCGTCAGAACCCCGTTAGAGTTCTGGATGATGAGCCTCTCCAGCTCCGGAGACGCGAGTTTGAGCGACCCGACATCGCCGTTCGCGCTCTGATAAAGCTCCGATTTGAGGCTCCGATATTGCTCATTCAAATTCAAGTTCATGCTCTGTTTCTGGAGTTTGTAGTCATGTAGTGCCGCGTCGTTGTGCGCGTAACCCAACAGAAACGAGTCGTCGTGGTAGAACGGCTGCTCCATTTGTGTACTCATAGCCTAGAGATGTTCTTGGAGAAAGCTATTCTGCTTGACAGTTCAATGTCTAATTTACACCTTCAAGTGTAAAGAGAAAAACGTCCAAAAAAAAGCAGAGCGAATAAGGATGACAGTCAATGAAACAGCGTTCCGTCCCGGATCGACGCTCCTCTCGAATGAATTAAACACAAGAAGTCCCAAAGATGTGATGAGTAGCGAGACAGCAGCAATAACGCGCTCTTGAACGAGTCTAAGAGGCTGTCTATTGAAAGAGAACGCTGTTTTTTGGGAGAGATGTCCGTTTGATTTGCTCGGATGCGTTCGTTCGTTCGTGTGGATCGGAATCCCGATTCGTATTTATAAGCAACTCGGCACTGACAGCTGGCCACGCCCCCAACTGGCGACGTCACGCGCATCATCACGTCATTGTCGGGAACTGCTGGGACAGTAAACAAGCCTGAGGGCGAATCGCGCAGTAAAGAGGGAACGGGGCGATTTTAGCCTCAGGATTTGAAATTACTGAGTAAACGATTTAGGAATAGCATTGGATTTCAGGTATGGACTTTATACAGTAAGGATAAAGGCTACCACCTTATATTTTTATATATTAGGGTTTTTTATATGATTGTGATGCGCGTACGTGTTATGCAGCTAAGTTATATTGGGACATTTTTCCAGTCATCACGATGGCAAAAAGTGTCCCTGTGTACCTAAATTCACCCTATAGTTTGTGTAGGGCATGTTTTACTTTAGCGGAAACAGTGGAAACAAATAAAAATGATATTAGAATGTATCAAAACATTTTGTTTTGGCTATTATTGCACAAAGCTTTAAAATATCTTTATTCGTGTTCCTTATGTTTTTCAAGTTGCATTTTTATCTAAAAGAACGGTATAGATTACGCCAGACAATTTGAAGAAGTGTAATTTTAAACTCGCTGAATCTGCAAGTTAGTGAAAAAGACGGATGGCAAACTCTCGTGGATCCTCAGACACTCGCTTCCTGTAGGAAGTTTACAGTCCAAATATGGGCATGGTGACGCGGTTCCTTTCCGGAGGGTGTGAGAGGCCCCGCCCACTTTATCTGGACTGCTGAGCAGAGGCACGTTCTCGACGCTCATCAGAAACACCTGCTAAACAAACAGTTGAACAAACCAGCAAAAGTGCCATACACTTACCGCATTCTCAGTTTAATTATATGATACTTGTAAGTTATTAGTTTAAAAACCGATCTGATTAAAAAAACACTTTCTAAACCAGGTCACTATATTCATCGTTTGAATATTTAGGCTTATAATACAGGTTTGCACTGAAATTAAAGGCTTTATTTAACACTGTGGCTCTGTGTAATCATACTTTATAATTAATACATTTACAGTCTTTTATCATAAGCCATTAATGCCTAATTCTTAAGTAGGCCTGAAGCCGCTTTGAGGGAATATCATATTTTCACTGGCAGAAATGGACTCCTTTTAAGTAGCATGGAGTTTGTTTGATGTGAGAAAGTTGCATTAAAGAGCAAGCGAGAGGTGAATCAGGGTGATATTTGATCATTTTGCTCTTCTCAGGTGGTTCAGAGACGGGACGGGTGATGTTGTCCCGCTCTGCACCTGCGCTGTATGTCAGGTTTCATTTCCACCCACCTGTATCCCGAGAGTTAATGAAACCTATCCCATCTGTTCTCCTCAGAGCCAGTGTGTGTGTGTGTGTGTGTCTGTATTATCAGGCTGAGCTGCTCTACTGGAGGAACTGCGATCCATAGAGAGCTGAGCATTTGCTGACTTCAGAGTACTGCACTTTAGTATCATTTTAAAATTTTATATTAAATATAACAGTTTATAAAGTGTCTTTATATATTATTAAACATGTGTTAATAGTGTGTAAATAATAAATAATAATAATACAAATAAAATATTTAGATTTAGAAAGATTTTGTTAAATGTAAAATATCATTATACATTTTAAGAAAATTTTATTTATAACATATTAATTTAAATAAACATTTATTATTATAATATAACATATTATTCATGTATTTACTAAATATAAAATAACATTTTATAAAAATGTATGTATATCATTTTATATTAATAATATGTATTAATATGAATGAAATATTTTTATGTATTTTATATTAAATATAACAGTTTATGAAGTGTTTTTATATATTATTAAACATAATAGTGTGTATAAAAAATAATACGAATAAAATATTTAGATTTAGAAAGATTTTGTTAAATATAAAATATCATTTATATACATCCATTTAAATAATAAACATTTATTATTATTATAATAATAGAATATATAATTAATATATTTACCAAATAAAATTTTATACAAATATATTTATATATTAATAATATGTATTAATATAAATGAAATATTTATTATTAACATAGTAGATGAAGTTTTTGTTCAATGTATTATATATTTGATATAAAATAATTGTTATTAACCTGTTAACTGTCACCCCCCCTTTTTTGAATAGACATGAAAATGCACATTTCGAACTTAAATGGTTGTAATTCAAGAATGCTTTGGAATATAGACATATGATTGGTCTTGTTTTAAAGAAGACATTTGGCAGATTTTTGTAGAAGTGAAATAAATTAAGAAAGTGAAACAGAAAAAAAGTTATAGAAGTTTGAGTTTATGGAAATGTACAATGTAAAAATATTAATTATTCATATTTTACATAAAATATATATTTTCAAAACCTGGGCTACTCTAAAATGTCAGAAAGATCAAAGCCAAAAATCTGAACAAGTTGTGTTTCAAATTTTAGGTTGATATCTCAAAAAATGAGCTTTCAGTAAGATTTTGTTTGAGCGCAGTACCAAACTTTTTCACTAGGGCACAATCAGACTCCATTACTGCCCATATAAGGGCGCCTGCATTTCCATTCGTGTTTTGAGTGATATGAACCATTATTTTCACAATTTTCATACAATTTCTGAAGTAGAGATCCTATTCAGAAGTAGCATGGGAGTTTGGCAGATTTTGATATGAATTATACCTCTAAGAAACACATACAAAGAACACGCATGTAAGTCATAGCTAGCTGCCACGTCACAAATGGTGAATTTATTATTTTTTTTCTTGATATTTCAAACTTTTCATACCTTTTTTTTCCAAAATAATTGAATGGATTCTATCTTTTGAACTTTTGGCATGAAAACAAACTGAGGTATCTACCATTTTTTCATGATTTTTCATGTTTACTGCTATTTTAAAATAAAGGTCTGAACACGCCTTATGAGTATGAAAATATTTTTGTTTTATATTGATAAATTATGGCTCCTCTGTAATATATTTTGAAAATCAGTCACCAAATATGGAAACTAGAGATTGTAAGCTTTCAAATGATATATAGTTTGTCAATATTATTTAAGGTATTTACTAAGATATTATTGTTTTAAAAATATAGTGGCAAACGTCCCACCTGTGGGACGGTGACAGTTAAGTGGTTAATAAAAATAAATGTTTACTATGTATAAATGTTAATATGTTTACCACACTTAAATAGTATTTTATAAAATGCTATTATATATAAATATAAAATAAATTGTATTATATATTTTATAAAAGCATATATTATTAACATTTATTAATTAAAATTAATATTTTAATATGTAATAATTTGTATATAATAATACATATAATACATGTTTTTATTAAATATAAAACTAAAAATATTAGAATTATTTATTTATATATATATATATATATATATATACATTTTATAAAAAAATTGTTTAGTATTTATTTTATAATGTTTATAAAAAAAATACTGTTTTAATATGTAATATTTGTTTTATATTACTATGTATTTTTGCTCAGTATGGTAAAGTTGGACCACATAAAGTCTCAAAATCGCTCTGTCAAAGATGCTTGTGTTCATCCAGAGCTGTTCTGTGTCCAGTAACTGGTTTCTGCTTTCAGTGCTGCCGTCTCTATTTTAGTGTGTTTCTGGATAAGTTGTGTGACTTTGTCAGTCTATTGTGACATTGAGGTGAATTACAATAGTTTTGTGGGGGAGGTTTGATGTTTACAGTAACACTGAGTGGGCAGAGAGAGAGTGTGTGTGGGAGAGAGAGAGAGAGAGTGCCTCAGGCAACAATACAGGTCAGAAGTTAGATTGGATCAGAACATTCAGAATATTATCCAGTTCCAACGGGTTGGAGACCGGCACTTCACGGATGCGTTGTGGTCATGTCCAGGCGCAGGTCCACAATCTGATTTGGATACGGCCCGGATCCGGCAGACTTCAGTAAACCTCCGAATAAATTGAAAGACTGACATTAGCGTAGATGCCATTCTTCTTAAGATGTAACGAGTGCATCGGGTGTTGTAGGAAGCGTCCCCAGTTCCAGCTGACCTAATTTTACAGATCTGAATAATATGTATACTGTCCTATAGGCCAAAGAGATGTGTTTTTAGTCTAGATTTGAACTGACAGACTGTGTCTGCTTCCCGGACAATTTTAGGAAGATTGTTCCAGAGTTTTGGTCCTAAATAGGAAAATGATCTCCTGCCTGTAGTCGATTTTGATATTCTAGGTATTATCAACTGGCCGGAGTTTTGAGATCGCAATCGACGTGAAGGACTATAATGCGTTAAGAGCTCGCTCAAGTACTGCGGAGCTAAACCATTCAGTGCTTTATAAGTAATCAGCAATATTTTAAAATTTATACGATGTTTAATAGGCAGCCAATGCAGGGTTGACAGAACCGGGCTAATATGGTCATACTTCCTGGTTCTGGTAAGAAGCTGAACCTCCCAGTAGATCATTACAATAATCTAGCCTTGATGTCATGAACTCATTAACTAACTGTAACGCATTTGTAAATGAGATGTGAATATGACGTTATTTAGATATAGTTTTACAGATGCTAGAAATGTTGCTTTCAAATGAAAGATTGAATCAAAGGTTCCTAACCTAACCGTGTGTGTGTGTGTGTTTGTGTGTGTGTGTGGCACTGTGCCATGAGGAGAGGACACTGGCACAGCAGTGGCAGAAATAACAAGAAAAATCCCACACAGACACATGAAGCTAAGAGTGTGTGTGTGTGTGTGTGTGTGTTATGAGGCCAAGGTCAGTGTGTTGATGTTGTTGTTTACCTGGGGTGGCTGGTACATGCAGTTCTCCGGCTGGGTTTGTTTTATTCAGATGAAGAACAGGAGGTGTCAAAACACAACGTTTTTATACAAAAACACATTTTCCCTATCCTATACCTGTAACTGTTGATTATATTCCACAATAATCATCATCGCTATCACTTGTGCGTGCGTGCGTGTGTGTGTGTGTGTTTGGGTTCACATGGATACGTGCCAGTAAGCTGATCTT